AATGGAGAAACCATCCCTTTCTCTTAACAAAAACTTTTCATGAAAGTGTAATAATCACACGAAAGCATTAATTTCTGGCTAACGTAGTATACGGCCGGTTCTTGGAAAAGTCTTTTCTATAACGCTTTAATGAGAGAAAAGCCTCTGTGTTTCACATAGGTGTTTTTCTCGCAAGACAGAGCTCTTTTCAAACTAATAGTAATCATTCGATAGTCCAATATTTGAGGATTTCAACGCTATGCATATTTTCTAGATAGACTGCTTCTCTATAGTGTAGCAAGGAACATAGCATTGATTCACATACGCGAGTAAGTGTACTTTGGCCAAATCACGGGCTGCGGCTGGGCGCCGAGGGATCGGCGCGGTCATCGATCAATGGCGTCTAAGTGAAATGAGATTTTTGTTACTTGAGTGTAAATTGTTTCTCCGCTTCGGAAGAAGTTCTACACTATACGTCTGACTCTGAATCAAAACATTCCTCGACGCGTTCATGTGCTTGTCGTGTTTTTAGCGAAGCAATAGTTGAACGCGTTGCGATATGAAACATGATTTTTTTCTGAACATTACAGCGTCATAGAAAGGTTTTTTCAAAGACTAGCCACGTTTCACTCTAGCTAGATATTTAAGCTTTGGAATGATAATTAACACTATTATGGAAAGTTTTTCTTAAGCAAAAAAAAGTCGCTTCTTTATGCTTTGCCGTCTAATGGGGAAGAACCACCGAGGGCATATAGTGAATACATTGAAAAAGTGGTATCAGAGCAGTGGTATCGATCATGTAGTAGTAGCACGCGCCTCGTATGCGTGAAAAGCGGACTGAGCACCCGCATTATGTCGAATGTCCGGCTTTCACTCGGTACTCTCAAATGTGTGCTTGTAATGTCTTCTTACTGTTGAAGAGCAGTAAAAATAATAGATTTGAATAGATCGGGTGAGAATTAATATAAAGTACCTTCCAGAGATGGCGCTCGCCACAATATAGCTACTGAATAAGCTATGGGTCGAATAGAAGAGATCTACGACATAATTCCATGTATCATATTGTGCCATTAAAAACATATGGCACCTTCAGGTGTCCTACCGGCCGCTCTCAAAGCTCCTTGGTTGAAATTAGAAGATTTTGGAAAAAATAAGAAAGTATGAGAATTTTATGCAAAACTGTCTGCGCAGCCTGTCAGAGCACTACTATATGACAAATGTTCCATGCAATATGGATAACTGTTGCTTTGCCTGAGACGATCTAAAATTTAACCCACACATAGTCTAGCACAGGGTAACTGAATCGCACATTAAAATACTCGTGACTTTTATACCCTCAAGAACTTTATGCGTGGCCACACACTTGTACATTATCAGTTGAGGTATCGAACAATGACTCGATCTTTATTCAGTACAATTCAGGTAACAGCTGCTGATTGAAGTCGGATTGAAACGTCAATTAGGTGTTACGGAGAAATCCAATGCCCAAAGTGTATGCCGGATGAGTGTTCCTCATCTAATTAGAAGCACTCTTTAGAAAATGTAGTAAAGAGGTGCGTCAATGATTATAGAGAATATTTACTGCAAAATGTTCTCTATCATTCTTCCTATCATAACTTTCACATGAAAAATGTGTTTGTTTCAAAGCTGTTTAACTTTGTTATTCAATAAACTATGTACAGAATCAGAATTTTTTTATTTAACCGCTTTTAGTAGTGCTATGATGCTGCAATGTACCCAGTGGTGTGCAAAACCTTTGCGTGAGGCGGAATTCGGACGCACACCTCATTCTATCCGGGAGTACGTGCTCTACCACGTTGCAGTGCTGGAGCCTGTTTTGCCATCACTCTTTCTACGATACAACGCATCTGTCAGCAACCAACCGCCAACGGTTTGACCCGGTAGTCGGTATTGACATTAAACCCAGTCCTGATAACATATTGAATAATGGGTATTAGATGATCAATTGGAATTCTTTCTAACAGACATCATACCACCGCTGAAAGCGGTCAGATAAAAAAATTTAAAATGATTTCCTATTACCTAATATCTGTCAGCATCAGTGGGTCAGTGTCGATACCGACTACCTGCCAAATCGTCGACGGTTGGCTGCTGACAGAGAGATGCACTGCATTGTAAAAAGAGTGATGGCAAAACAGGAGTTAGTAGTGCAACGGGTTGGAGCACACGCTCCCGGATAGAATGAGATGTGGGTTTGAATTCCGCCTTACGCAGAAGCTTTGCTCATCACTTTACATTACTGGGTATATCCATAACATGATATAGCGGTCAAGTGAATAGGCTGACGAAACCAACATAAAGACCCACGAAATCTTGTATATTTCGTACTTTAAACGTTTGACATTCATTCATTTCTTGTTCTCATTTTTCCTGATCACAATTGCAATTCTTTTATACTCCAGCTCCCTCATATCTAAACTAACAAAATTTCCAATCTGTTACCACTTAGCCGGGTTCGTGTGTGATGAATATTGAACACTTCTAATTATTCTTTCCATAGGATTTTCTATGTTAGAAATTGTTTCGTACAAAAATCGACTTGCTTATCCTGAGTCTGTGTCAGTCCATAACCACGGGCCATTCGTTGACATAATGATTGAAGTGTCTGCATAACCCCTTTGTTTATCTCAAGTAATTTCCAATTGCTTACTTATTTTAGGAGCATTTCTATTTACTTTTCATATCCTCATGAACCTGAACCGTGATGCACTAACAGTAATCAACGCACTCTCATATTGTTGTCGCTTTCACCCATATTCTACTGTGCAATGCTGTCGTAGGCAATTCTATGGATGTGGTGAACTGCCATTCTAACATGGTCTACGGAACATAGCTATTGATCGTCTCATTCTTTTAGATCGTATTATATTCTTCATCTCATTCAACCACCCATGTTCTTGTTTCACTGCGACCGTGAACTATCTCACCCAATAAAGTCTTGTGATGGTTTTGAATCAGAAACTTCAGGCTACATGCGTGACTCAAAAATATTTGTCAGGCATATTGAAAGTTGAGCGTGGTCTCAAGAAACACTCCAAAACGAATGGTATGATATTTCACGATTACCAGCCAAGAGCAATCAAGTGTACAACACTGCCTGTTCCGTGATTTTATCATTATCATAAGCGTGTAAAACGTTTGTCGTTGACTCCTCCATGTAAAGGGTAGATCCTCGAGGAACTGACTGAACGAGAAGATACCGTGTAATTGACGAGGCTTCAACGCCAAAACACGTGAGCGTCCATAACAGACCACATGCATGGTTCAAGACTAACTTGAACAGTACTGTGCTGCATCCATGTAAGCGTTCTTCATTAATTCAAGTAAGTTTCCTGCAAGTTGAACCTCTTCCAATGATTCTGTTAGAGCCAGCGGTAACCACTTATCTTGGGATGATCTCGATGCTTCATCATTCATCCTAACAAAATCAGGGTTAGATTATTGTGTCAAATTCTCAGAATAGTGCGCAGAAAGGATACAATCTCTGACCACATATTTGGTATCGTCTTCGCAGCTCATCACACTGGTGTGTTCATAAGTGCTCATTTTATATTCTCTCCTTGATCTTTTCAGTTGCAGGTTGTATCCAAGACTATTCGTAAAGACTAGGTTGAAGAAAAAGTTCCTCGACACTCGCAAGAGATTCAAATCTATGTTTGTTTTACCGCAGTGTCGGTTTTCTAAATTCGTTGGAATATCTCAGGAATATACCCAATAATGTGGAGTGCTGTGCAAAAATATTCGTGTCAGCCGAAATTCAAACCCAAATCTCACTCTTTCAGGGAGCTTATGCTAACCGTTGCACCAGCGACACTCGTTTTGCACGGCACTCTTTTTACGCTACAACGCTTTATCTATCAACAGCCAACCGTCTACGGTCTAGCGGGGCAGCTGCTATCGACATTGAACCCACTTGTGCTGACAGATATTGGGTATCAATAATCACTCGGAATCTTCAGAAAAAGAGCGACCAAAGAAATGAATTCCGATTGATTATCTCAGGAATATTTCAATGAGAAACCCCCATGGTAACGTTAGTTATAATGCACTGAATTGATTTGATTCGTAAAGATTGCGCACTGTTTCAGCGAGACAAGGCGAAACCTCGCATCGCAAAGAGCACTTAGGAAAAGTTTGATGAATTGGAGAAATTGAGGTCTTACCGCACCCAGCCTACAGTCCATGTGCTGCGCCGTCCGTTATGGTCTTTTCCGCTCAATCATATATTTCCCATGTGGACGTCGATTAGAGACATTTGATTGAGTTGGAGAGGCTTGTCAGGTGTTTTTTTGATTCAAAGTCTAAGGAAACGTATTCCGAGCAGATACGAAAGCTTGTAGATCGTTTGCAGGTCGTGGGTATTGATGATCTTTATTTTAAAGGGAAATTTCTGTTGTTTGTAATTAAATTTATGTATAAACTTTAAATTTCTACCAGGTATTGAGAAACTTTCTCCCCAACCTGATATACCATGATCACAAGAAAAAAGTAGAGCTCCATGGCATTCTCATGACATCTTCGTTCCCCGTTTACTTCTGTTGTAACGTAATTAAAAATATGCGATGTACGATATGAACCATTTCCAAATCATTTGCGCTGGCGGACGATTGCTGATAACATCGAGAGACCTAAGACAATTGAGTGGTGAGCGAAAAAAAAAACCGCCCCCGGCGGAAATCGCATCCGCGTTTCATTCATTTAGTGGACGCGTGCTCTACCACTACACCAGCGAGGCACATTTGGGCCACCACTCATTCTTCAATATCTCTGTATCAGCTGTCAACCACCAATCTTTGACGGAATTGGTCGGGTATGCGATTTTGCTTTATAGACTCAGTTAAGCTGACAGCCATCGTAATAACTAATGCTCGAAATTTCTAGTATCTCCACTGCATTTTTGCGGTGTTATCGGCAGAAATAGCATACCCGGCCAAACCTGTTAAATGTTGGTGGCTGACAGCTGACATAGAGATATAGAAGAATGAGTGGGGGGCACATGTGCCACTGTAGTGTAGTGATAGAGCATGCGTCCCTGGTATGGATGAAACGAGGGGTCGATTTCCGCCTGAGGCCATTTTTTGCTCACCACTCAATTCTCTTAGCCATATATGAAACATAATAACACTGCGAAAAATGCAGTGAAAATACTAGAAATTTCGAACACCGATACAGTTGAAATATACCGAAAAAAAAGAAAAGAAAATAAGGGCTTTGCTTGGTGAAGCGGGTGGTAGATATGCCACTAAAGAGACTAAATGAGGATTCGAAGCCCAGTTGACGTTTAAAGCTTCACTCACATCTCCATATCATCCTACGAAACAAGAATAGGCAGTGAATAAAAGTTTGAACACAGTTTTAAGATAGATCTGCTCAACAATCAAAATCAAAAGAAGCATTTATTCGCAGAATGAATTGAAGCGGTTTTAGCAAGAGAAAAATTTGTGAAGTAATATTTCAAAGGTTTCAGCTTTTTAGATTTCTTGATTACTAAATTATCTCTCTCGACGTGGCCTGAACATTGTGTGTTATGAGACTTGAAGGCGTCTACAATCTCTTCGCTGGGTCATCAGTTTCTGCCAACAGCTGTTCTACTTCTAGAGATGGTTGAGTTCCTTGTACTTCTAGTGAACGGGTATTCTTTGTGGAGCTGCCTGCGACTGTTTTCTTTAAAAGTCTCCCAGTATTTCGCATAACTTCTGGTTCTTCACGATCAGGAACTTCTTGGTTCTGTTTCCCAGTTGATTTTCCTTTAGCTCTGTCATTTTTTGAAGGTTGTCTAAAAATATCAGTGAAAAAAATTCATATTTTCGTAAGTGTTGCTGCTGAGATTTCCCAACTGTTTTTTTAACACGTTTCAACAGCGCCTTATATTATGGAGCATTTGAAGAACAACACCACCATCTTTTGTTAAGAACAACTGCAATCAGTATTGCAACAATGTTTGCAAGATTATCAGCATGCATCTTTATGGATTGATATGGATACGAAATGAAAACTACGGATTACTCTGAAGAATCTTGAGTTCACGCTGGCAAATTGTCAGGTGGAGTGTACTTGGTATACTTAAATCAAAAAAGATCTCTTATCTCTGTGAAGTGAATGTAAATTTGCAAACAAAAAGCGCTTTCATACAGAGAGGCGACATTTGATTCTGGGCGTACTCGCCCATGTAATCATGTCTAAACCTACTTTCGTACTTGCGGGTCGTAATTTGCACGCTAAATCGTACAAAAAAAAAATAGAATCATGTGTTTTATAAGAGCGTAGAACATGGCTAGGAGTTGTGGTAAGCAAAAAACTCTTCGTGCTAATACGTGCTTTCTAAAACACGCCTGAAGTTCTTGCATCAAGACACTTCAATGTTCACTATCATGAGATAAATTATATAGAAGTAAATCAAAGGTTCTGGTTGGCGTTATGTTATTCCCAAGACAGGCTATCTATTAACCTTGACATGGATTGAATAATTTAGTGTTCTCCCTTTATAAGCAGATCCGAGGTTGCTGATACCAGGCCAACATTGCATGAGACTGATCTTCTTTAGATAAAGCTGCAATGGTCAAGAAAAGAACACACAAAGCAAACCATTGCATGACGAGTTTACTTAGGTTGGTGACTTACGGTTTGAAAGAAGCAGCCGGTCATAGTATCGTTATATTGATACCATTCAACACTACTGCGTTAATGATACTACTGAAAAGTATCCTTTCAAAAAAAGCCTAGCTGATCCACCCTCATGAAATCATGAAAGGCGTAGACAGTCATCAGTTTGTGTCTAAACCTTCAAAGCTCCGCATAAAGATTATAAAAGAAATTAAAAGGTAATCAGAACATTAGTGACTTATGGGAGGCACCGTGGCCGAGTGGTTGTGATGCTCGTTGCGGCGCACGAGGTTAAGACCCGCCCCAAATACTCTCCGGAGGTCAACACCGTACGCTCTATGGAACGCCACAGCCTATCCTCGAATCTGCAGGGAGCCGTTCTCAACCAGTATTCTACAACGTTGAAAAAGAAGACGAAAAAACAAATTGAATGCTAGAAGTACTGGAATGCTCACAGTGAAAAAAGCACTGCGAAGCTATTAGTAAAGTGCTGAATAAAGTAACTCATGAAGCTGAATAAGCAGGGAAACCCTTTCGTATCGACCTTCTAAACTTCGCCTGTGATAACAGTAGCATGATCACGATCACGCTTTGCCAGGACAAAAGTTATAACTGCCATTAAGGTATAAGAGAAAACACCCATAACTTCTAATCCGCACTTTTCAGTAATCAAGCGCTTCTGTCTCTGTATGAAATCAAAAAGGATTGATACTTCGTCTCATCGGTTTAGCCTACCGTATTTTGATATCCCATGGTGTTAGTGGGAAAATATATATCAACTGCCGATCATACAAGAAAAAGTTTGGACATCGTCCTCCTAGTAGCCTCGTAAGGGACTTGTGTATTTGCACACTACCTGTCATAAAAGCTTTACTCCAAACCCATCGATGATTGACAAAGGCATGGTCCTCGCACACAACTTGAGGATTATAATCAGCAACCATCAAATAGTCCATTCTAACATCATCATCTGTGCGTTCATCATTGATCATATCGAAGTTTCGAGAAGAAACCGAATGAAGGTTAACTAAAAAAATAGGCAAAATTTGAAGCAGGTCTAGTACAGTGAGCACAGCTGCATCACAGGGAAGCCCGTAAAAGTATCCTGGTAATCCTTTCAACACTTTCAGCGGGATAAAAAAACCTTTAACGCAAACGGAACAAAATCATTCATCGAACCTTCAATGGCCAGGGAGTCTCTAGTCAATAAAAAATGGTAATTTAGGCCTTATGTGACAACTTAATAACCATGATTTCACCGTTTTATTTGAACATGAACGCAAGAAAAGAGGTTATCAAAGTGAATATGTGCTGCATAAACTGTTCAAAAACTACACTTGAGAACTTGTATTGTCTACACAAAAAAGTCTAGGTGGTCAACAACCTAAGTCCAGTGCTCTCAAGGAGAAGTACTGTGGTTAGAAAGAAAATTTTGGGGCACTTGTAAAAAATTGAAACTTTATGCATGAATTGCAAACAAAACACTGACAGCTATTCTTTAAAATAGAAACAATCGTTTTCTAACGACTTTTTGCCATTGGTCCACCAAGTTTCAGATCTGGTCCCGGCCTTGGTCAAGCAAAAGCGCGTTTTTAATCAGCAAGACAATGCCAGATCGCACACTGTTAAGAAGGCCAACGACAAGTTTGATGAATAGAATGGAGTTGAGGCTCTGCTGCATACCGCCTACACTCCACATTGCGCTCCATCCGACTTTGGCTTTAAACGACCCAAATGTCGCACTTTCCGAAGGGTAGCCGATTTGAAATCGTTCGATGAAGTTGAAGAAGTATGTCAGGATTTCTTTGATTCGAAGTCGAAAGAATGGTTCACTACAACCAATCTGAACTTGGCGGATCGATGGCAGAAAGTTCCAGAGAATGGTAGCCTTTATTATAACTTTATTCTGAGTGCTTTATTAAGACCACGCTCAATTTCAATAGATCCTTTCATTATTATTTGAGACAACTTGTCATGTGGTCTGGTAAGGGTTTCTTGTACAGCCCGATACACGTGTTTCGCCCTTACAGACTCGTCAGTCGGGCACAACCCGTCGTCTTTCGATATTTTTATAGTCAGTTCTCTCGGGAGCTCTTGCCAGACCACATAACAAGTTGCCTCAAATAGTAATGAAAGGATCTAATGATAGCCTTCATTTTAAAGAATAGTCATGATTATTTTGTTTGAAATTATGCACAAATTCCTAGTTTTTTACAAGTGCCCCAGAACTTTCTTTCCAATCTAGTACCTTGAGAAGTTCTACAGTGGCACAGAGAATGCAATGAAAGGAAGAAGAAAACCTTTGTGCTAAGTTATCTCTCACTCAAACGTCCTTGAAGCAAACCTAGACGATGCCATATGAGGATAAGAAAGCACAGCGTAACAGAAATCATCGTTATGATGACGATATCACGCTTTTCCTTTTCGCACCAAGGAGACCGTAATAGGATTACCAAACACTGTTAACGAAGCATTCAAAGAATGAAGACGGTTTTGTACACGCGAAAATAGGTGAATTAAGTGGATCAGATTCAGAATGCGTTCTAACGGTTTTGACGATGAAGCTGTAAGGATAAACGGATTCTTTCATGGTATGTCAAGCCCATAGCTGGCTCGACACAGACTAATGGTTACATATTGGAGATTTTTCAACATATGGAAATGCGATTACATTTTGTGGAGTGCACAGATCCTTATAATTTTGTACAAAACACTTTACAGGTCAAGTATATACTTGTTGGTTTTGATCGGCTAAGCGACTAGTCTGAGAACAAGTGATACCCGTGAAAGGAAAACTTCTATCATAAATTGAAAATTATTTTATTTGACCGCCTACTGCGGTGTTATGATGTTTCAGTAAACCCACTGATGTACAGTGGTGTGCAAAAACGTTTGCGTCAGTCGGGAGTCGAACCCAGATCTTACTCTTTCCGGGAGCATGTGCTAAACCGTTGCACCACCGGCAATCGTCATGCACTCCACTCTTTCTACGCTACAACGCGTTATCACTCAACAGCCAACCGCCTACGGTGTGGCAGGGCAGTCGTTATCGACATTGAACTCACTTTGTTGACAGATATTGGGTTTCAATTATCAATCGCAATCATTTTAACCTCCGAAACACCGGTGTAATGGCCCTGGCGTACCAACCTCGTTAGGGCTTGGAACATTCTTTTTTTTTTTTGGAATTATTCTGAATGTTTATCACGAGTTTCAAAAACAGTCGATCTTATGGATTAATTTGGTCTACCAGCCGAAATCCATCGATTGAACAGTGGTGATGGACCAGTGTCACTGTACACTGTGCCATCACCACATACGCCTCCCTCCTTGCTACAGTGCAGGGCTTAATGTGAGGCGGGGGTCACTGACGAGGTGGCCGAAACCTCCGAAACATGGTGTATGGCCCTGGCGTATCAACCTCGTTTAGGCTTGAAACATTCTTTTTTTTTAGAATTATTTTGAATGTT